ATGTGCTGAAGTAGCAGCTAATATGGGCTACAGTGCTCCAAAAACTGTTTAGATTCCAGCAGCACATCATATTTTAAAGACAAAATGGCGGTAAATGCACACCAAGAAGAAAGTCCTGTGGCTGGCTGAAGATAAGTGCTGTGCTCAGAGATGTTTGGCTCAAAGCTCTGGAGTCCATTTTAGTCAGATTTGTTATAACTGCTTGTCCTCACTGTTACGTATACACACAAATTAACCTAGTTACAAATTGATACAATTTCAGGGAAGTGAAGGAAAAGACCTCAGTAACTTCAGCACATTCAGAAAATACAGATTCCTTCTCAGAAAAAAATTTCTCAGCCTGCAGGAATGAAGTTTTTCATGGCACAAGAGAGTTCTACACGAGGTCTCTGTGGTGAGGGATGATTACTTCCTAGGGAGGTGAGAAACACAGTAATTAGCAATTTGATTTCTGATGTGGCTGAGAAAAATAGTTCTCCACTTAAGGAGAAAGATCTATAATTTCTGCTGCAGACAAATTGGAAAGGTAAGTTGAGGGACATGGTGCTGCTGGGGGTGGAAGCAGTGGCATGCAGTAATGGCTGACTTTAGTAGTTCGAGTTGCTGATTCCAACATCCACCTGCTGTACTTCTGCCCTTCTCACCATCACCTACCACGTTTCTGAGGGAAAGACCACAGCTCTGACACCTCCAAACAGCCTGCAGTAATCCCAAATGCCTGCGATAAGAAGCATGGCTCTGCAATTGAGGCTGAAGGCTTTGAGAGCAGGGAAGGACAGTGAGTCAGCTGGATGTACGTGCATTACGCCATGTCCCTGCCAGGGATGGAGCCTAATTGGATTGCACAAATGCGACTTCTGTGTCTCTTGATCAGAAAACCAAATTAAGCCTCAAGAAGTTTCAAACAAATCCCTACCTGAAAGATTGCCTTGAAAAGAAAGTGCTGATAACTTGTGTTATTTCAGCTTTGCCCTAGAACAGAAGTGAAATGAAAACTCCAAACCAAAACTACTGCTTTAGAACAAATAAGAGAAGCAAAGCACAAGCAGCAGATCGGCTGAATTCCTGGGTGTACTGAACAAAATCAGTCATGTGATAATGACAGGATTTTCTAGAAGACCTTTTAGGCATGCAATTTCTGTATTAATCTGTTCAGAAGTCCCTAGAACATCTGTTTCTTCTCTAAAATGGGAGTAACAGCCACTATAACAGCCACTTTTTACAGTGCAATGACAGCTACAGATGAAAGCATGGTAATTACAAGTGGTGACTACTGCTTGATGAAAGATATTTTTGAGAGCTTTTCTGTCAAGATTTTTTTTAATCTGCGTGCAGATTCTGGATATGAACCTCAGCCACGACTGCAGTTCATGCAATTCTGGGGGAGGAGAGAGGATTAAAATCATAGATTACAGCAGGATCCAGCTGGATTCAAGCCTCCTGAATCCAGGTCACAGGCAGGCTAGGAGCAGCTCCCACTGCCCATCCTGACAAGCACTGAGCAGGCAAGGCTGGGCTGTGCAGCCTGCACTGCACTCCCTGCACTGCACTCAGTGCCGTGGCCTCCCGGCAGGGCCCAGCAGCTCCTCCCCTGCAGCGTATGCCTGCTGGAGAAGAGCTAAATCAGCAGTTTTGCAATTTTGAGAGGAACTCTTCTAAGTGTTGAAGAAAATCACAACTCTTGTTGTCTAGCATAGAACTGGAATGCTTCTAATTATTTTTTTTTCCAGAGTTAATTTGTAAATTCTCATTAGTGCTTTCTGTGCTGATGCCTGATCATAAGGGGGCCTCTGAGTGCTGAAATGTGTGTTCTCTAAATAAACCAAAAGTGCAGTGTTTTGTGTCTGTAGCTGCAGTGTGTGTCAGAGTTACAAAAGCTCATCCCAGGAACATGTACATATTTTAGTTTTTGTAAAAGCTTACCAGCAACTTTGAGAACAGAACAGCAAACCTTACATTTATACTAAATCCAGTGTTACCTTTTCAGAAAAGACATGACAGATCCTTTAGGACAGAAATATAGTGTTTCCACAGATTTCTTTGATTCTAAAACCAGTCTGTGTGGCAGTGAGATACAATACCAGAGAAATTTCAACAGCCCAGTGAGAGTGAACTGTTTCAGCAGACACTGCTCATGAACCACTAATCCCACAATAATCACACCTTTGACTGCCTTCCAAAGAGCCTCAGTGCAACTCTTAAATAAACCGGGGTTATCTATGGGCATTCCAGAGCAAGCTGTGCTTTCTTGTAGGCCATATGCACAGAATTTCTGTTCAAGCCAGATTGATCCTGTAGCATAGGGAGAGCCTTCACCTCTGATGGAATGAGGACAGCTCAGCCCCAGAAAGCATTCGCAGCCTGGAAGGATCACGCCCTCTGGACCTGGAGAAGTTCTCAGTAGTTCAGGATTCTTTAAGAAGCAGAAATCAGCCAGCTTGTATCCATGGTATCTAACGAGGCAACTCGTGTCACTGCTAAAAATACAAACCTGCTTGCAAAAAGTATATTCTAATAAGATCTGCATTTGTACTGCATTTGCACAACAAGCTTCTACTGAGATTCCAGTTGTTCCAAATGCTAATAGTGCGTAGTGACAGCTTAGAGGAGGAGGAGACACAGGTGTAAAACAGCTGCAGCCCAAGGAAAATCTATGCTCCTGGTGCTCTGCCTCTGCCTTTCTCTCCCACCTGGAAGCACCTGGGGTTAAGCACTGAGCAGGAAACTGTGCCTCTAACAGCATGCAGCCCTAGACTGGGCATCATCAGGTACTGCTGAGAGCTCAGCAAATCAGTGAGGAAGCTTCTCTTTGTATATCTTCAAGAGCTAAATGCAGTAGCAGCCATTCAAAGTATGTGCTCCACGTAGAAATGAGTAACTGAAACCTCTCTGACACTGCTAATGCTTTCAGCTATTAGGAAAATAGTAATGCCACCTGGAAAGAAATACAGCTGCAAACGGGATAACCATTAAATAGCTGCATGCCAGATTATGGGGCTCTTTCCTGGGAAGTAAGAAGAGTAGAGCAGAGAAGCTGAAAGTTCCTAGAAGAAGCAACCAGCATCATAAGGTAAAAACATCAAATCAGGCACAACTCCATTGACAATCTGGAATTTGCATCAGCAAAGAGCTTTGGATGCTATTTGTCTGGCCTCTACAGAGCAAAAGGAAATTAAAAAGAAAAAAACAAAACCAGAGCTCCATGCCACTGAAGCAAATGCAGAGATATCACTTGGTTTCAGAACATGTTGTCTATCCAGCTCATATAATAAGCATAGATGCCAACTCTCATCTGGCAAAATGTTGAGAGATGAGTAACTCTAGTGGAGAAGAGAGGACTGTATTCATCCCTGTTCTGCAGGTCTAGGCGATACAGACAGTTGATTATTGTTTTGTGTGTTGTCTTTTCTAAATTATGTACTGAATTCCTAATGATTTTAAAGACAACTAGCCAGCTTTTTAGGAAAGATACATAACTCTATCATCACAAGAACCTGGTTCTCTCTCCTGGTTAAGAAATATCCCTCTGCTTGCAGAGGGTGGGAAAAAAAAAGTCAGAAAAATGAGTTGGTTCAACATTACATAGCTTTGAAAAAATATTAAATTGATAGACAAGCACTTCTCCATCTAGATTCACAAAACAGGAAATCTAACAGCTTTGGTATTCTTTGTATGCACCATTGTATGCCTTGTAATCCTGGTAATACGGAAAAATAAATTATATTGTATTCCATGAGCATCTCCATTACCATGTATCTTTTTTAAGCTTACCAACTTCACAGTATATTAGATTTCAGGTTAAACCAACCTAGGTTAGCTTAAATGTGTAACAGTGCTTTATTTAACAGTGAAGTATGGGTAGACATTATTCCAACATTGCTGTGAACATCTGTTCTGAGTTACCAAAATTCCAGCTGAAAAACAAATATTTCCACTATAAATCACCCAAAACATTATCCGGAGTGTTGTAACAGATGCGAAATGATTCTGGCTCACTTCACCCTGTGGTTTGGCTCTTCTCTTAAAATCGCTGAGAATATATTTATTTACACACTTCAAGAAATACACATTTGAAATGGCTATTTAAGCTTACTTAGAACGTGTCTGATGTTAGTTCAAAGCTAATGGGCACTTGAGAGACTATTCTTATTAACTACAGATGCTGCAATTTAACATAAACTCTGTCTACAGCTTCCCAAATAGACCTGCTCCAGAGCAATCCCTAGAGCATTATCCTGCTCAAGTACTCGGAATGCTTCGATCCAGCAGCACTTGAACTGGTGACTTGGAGTTTGTGCAAGGGGGAGTACTTGGGGTTTTGATTCTTTCTATTCTGCTGTGCTTTGGTGTGTGCGTTTGTTTGTTTTTTTCCCCATTGTTATGCTGCTATTCATCTTTAGTTTCATGAGCTAAATGAATCAGAAGTGATGTTGACTTAACGGGGATAAAAGAAATCAGAATTGTTTACTAAGCATTAAATTTGGAAAAAGGCTTTGAAAGAGGCTTCCTGGTCAATGGTTTCAGTTTGTGAATAAAGTGATCTGTTTAAGTAGATGCTGTAATTCCATACTTCCAGGTGTTTAACTGCAATAAGCTGCATCTGAGCAACTCTAATTAAAGACACTTCCCCTTCTAAAAAACTTTGTAATGTTAGAGATACGTCAGCCCAGGAGAGAACAGTAAGTAGCACCAAAACCTTACAAGTGGGAAAGAAAAACGTCTTTCGTTTATTCCTCTTTCTTTTCATGCTATCCGGTTTGGTGGGGAGTGGAAGAAACAATGCTGTGTTTTGAGGATAATGTTTTGTAGTTGCTAATGATTTTCTGTCCTAAATGCTTGGAGGAAAACTGCAGACTAAATTTAACAGTGCCTTTTATGATGGTTGGGAAATGGGAGCTGCAGGCTAGTTATCCAGCCCACAAACAATAGGAACACATGGTCCATCCAGAGACACGATGGCAAATGGAGTACTTGAGGGAAGTAAAAAAAAAACAGCTTACCCTGCCATTGTGACTGTGGCGTGTGTTGGACTGGAGTTTTCAGAGTCTGCGTCAATGTGAACGGAATTCATTGAGAGGGCTTCAGCCGTAAGCACTCGTATGAATCCCTGTCAGAGATTTCCAACTTATTATAAGAGTGGACGACCACATCCTCTAAAGGCAATTTGTTAATTAATGCATAACAGTAAAGAAATTCTGCCTATATTTAAGCAGCATAAAGATGTGTATTTAGCTTAACAATTCTATTTGTAAGGAGATTGAAATGCGTATTCTGTATAAAAGACTGCAGGCTGCATCTCTTTTATGGCATTATATATTTGCTTTATATATTGTTAATTAGGCCTAATTTAGGCCTTCAAAGAAAAATCTCATTAAAATTCTGATTAGTGATGCTGGCAAGCAGCCATCTAAAAAGCCTCTATTTCTTCCTTTGATAAGTTTGAAACAGCTATAGCAAATAGTATAGCCTTCTTTCTTATGTCAATCAAAATGATGTATTCTCCAGGTCAAAGCCATTTAAGGGAAAATACAGGAGGACATCTTTATTTCCTTGCATGTGTGTTGTTGCATAGCCATAGAATACTGGTTATGTTTATGCCCTTTGGCAATTAAAAAAAAATAAAAATAAAACCCACCAGTGCCTATGGAAATGCTACACTACAAGGTAATTAAAGATTAAAACAAAATGAATGGGAGTAAAATGAATGCAGATCTGTTTTAATATGAAACCAGTTATGTCTGATGATTTCAGAATAGGTTGCTGCCCAAGGCTTTCAGTATAGCTTGTAGTCTAAATGCCTGACCAGGAAAATATAGAGGCAAGAAAATCTTTAGTCCAGATATAGACAATTATGCATCCACATTTCCACATATCAAGGCTGATAACTTTAAAATAAAATACAACATTAAAAAAAGTCAAAGGCAGAATAAAGCAATGAAAAGCAGTAATTCTATGGTTTCTTTTGTCTGCATGAACATCAAAAGTTTGTACAATGCAGCTGTAAGCTACCACTATTACTTTTGCATTTCATTTAAATGCACAAAAATAGTTTATAGTTTTACGAAACTGAACATGTTTGAAATGGCAACTGTTATACATCTCTCTTAATGTATTTTTTTTTCCATACATGTCTGTCCTTATAGGAGACATCAGTAATTTACTCTTGGTAGATCAATTATCTACTCGTCTACTCTTTCAGAAGGCAGCAGGACATCTGCAGGGGGCTGCTGACCACAGCTGAGGCAGGAGTACTTGCACTGTGGCTGCCCAGGATCTGCTGCTTGCACTCTGAGCACAATTCCCAGTGTGCAGCTGCTCCATCCTGAGTCACAGCAGGCAGCAGCCCCGGACACTGCTAAGGCAGAGCCAACAAATGGTTATGGGAAAATACCTCCACTTCCTTTTAGTAAACACTGAGCATACAACTGAAATCCAGATTTTGGATGCTCAGTATTAGTAAAGCTTTTTCAATATTTGGAAATGCATTTTAAAAATCCAAGTTAATCTTTAGAGATTTAATCTGTCTCACTGTATCAAATAAAGGAAGGAGTTGCGTGTACAAAATGCAAGGTACATTTGCCTCTTAAAATGGTGGTTGCTGTACATTTCTGTGTTGCTTTATGGTACTTACAAATGTAGATTTCAAAACACATGAAAAGTCTGGTAGACACACTCTATATATATTCTAATACTCAGATAACAACAACTAGTTTCCAACTGATTGTTTTTATTTATGAGAGATTAAAAATAAAAAGGCCATAAGAGAGACATGAGGATAGATTTTAAGGAAGGGTGCTGCAGCCTGACCTTGGAACTGAGAACCTTCTCCATTACTGCATATAACTTAGTGGAAAAACATTTTGGGGTGGGAAGGAGGGGTGGAATGAGGGGGGAAAATCTCACCTGCAAGCCTTAATGGATCCAGTCCTTCAGGATAAACTGCATACAGGTTAGTAACGAGCACTCTTGCACTGCTTGCTTGTTCTTTTAAAATGTGTGCTGTTATGACGATTCTTTCATAAAAAGGCATAGCATGACTTCTAATGCCATTGTTTGGAAGGTTGATTGTTGTCTGCAGGACTTGTCCCAGTTTTCCAGCAGGTCAGGCTTCCTTGAGAACGTAAAGAGGTTTATTGTATTTCTAGGTTCTTAATAAATACCACAAGATTAAAAACTGGTTTTCTGTAATTTTTTTAAGAGTAAAATCTGGGAACAAGGCAACTGTTACAGAACTGAGCCCAGAAGTACAGACAAAGGAATCCCAAGCTTTGGGCAGCTGCCTTGCAAAGTCTGGAGCCCAGGGCACTGGTCAGATTTTAGTGGGTGTTCAGTGTGAAGTTTTACAAATCCAGATCTGATAAGCCTGAACATGAAGAACACTTGAGGCTAAATTCTGCCTGACCTTCCCCAGCACCATGCCTCTGGCAAGCTTGCTGAAAACAGCCATTTGAAGTCAGAGAAATCTGGGTCATTGACTTCACTAGAAACTCTGAATAAGGATGAGATGCTCACCTTTCACTCCTTTCTCCCGTTACAGCTCTGCCTGGGGATGGGATGTTTCATTCTCTGCTTGTGGGTGCTCTTCTATCTCCAGTAAAACCAGCGCCAAGTTCCAAAATCAAACAGCCTAAGCATGTAAGAACAGCTATTTCTAACTGCCTTCCTGCTGCACGCAAGCCAAAAGTGAGAAAGGAATAGGAGCCGAGCACAGAGAAAGGATCAAATTGTTTCTCCCACTGGCACCAGCTGGAAGTTACCCTCGTTCAGATCAATGTCCAACTGCAGAACAGGCCAGCGACGACTTTGTGGCTCGTCTCAGTCCAGCTGTGTCATCTCATTTCACCAGCTAGTCACACCTGCAGGGTCTGAACAATTCCCCAAGGCACCAAGGGCACCAGGTGTTTGAAACAGTCCTGAGAGGCTGCTTAGTGCTTGGTGAGGCTATGGTTGCTTTAAAAAACATAGCAAAGTATTTATTCCAAAAATGTAGTCATCCTTGAGAGTAACACTCACTGAGTTCAAACCAGGTCAGCTGTCCAGAAAAGTACATGTATTTGATCTACTGTCACGGTCAGGACTGACTGTAAATGTTGGCAGCAAAAATGATCAATCTTTCAGCTCCCAGCACATAAGCAGTAACTGGTTATTTTTCTGAGAACTGGAATGGCTCTTGGCGCTGCCCCCAGATTACTTCAGAGAACTTCCTCTGCCATCACCCCAACGCTGTTCCAAACCTGTCTCTCCCACATTCATTAAAAACCTTTGAAAAAAAAAATGAAATAATAGAAACGGAGGGGGCAGATCGTGGTTCCTTCAGCACAGGTCCTGGCTCTCAGGAGCCGTGCGGGCGCAGGGTTGGGATGTTTCTGCGTGCAGCTGGGGCTGCGTGCTCCCCTTCAGGAGCTGCCGGCTCTGGGCTCTGCCTGGGATGCGGGTGTCTGAACGTAAGCGTTTGGCTTTCTGTGCATCTCTGGGTAACGGGTCCTGCCGGGCAGATGGAGGTGGACTGACACCCGAGGCTAAGCTGGGGGTGCTCTGCTGTTTTACAGCTAAAACAAAGGCTGGAGCCGCCGTCCCTTCCGCGTCTTCGTGCAGCCTGCGGGAGGGCGGTGCCAAGCCGAGGTATTTCACCACGGGGAACGGCTTCTCTGCACGCTCCCCAAACGCCGCTCTCCTGCTTATGCATCCTCCCCGCTACTTTTGTAATTTTCTCCCTCCCCCCCAAAAAAAAACCAAATGTATTTAGAAGACAGAAGCGGCAGCCGCTGCCCGGCTCGCAGAGGCCGAGGTGCCGTGAGGTGAAGCGAGGCGAGGCGCCACGCAGGGGGCGGGGCGGGGCGCGTGGAGCGACCGTTGCGGCGGTTCCACGCTGTGGCGCTGCTGCGGGAGGCGCGCGGAGCTCCGCGTGCTGCGATTGGCCCAAAGTAGGTCAGCCCGCGCGCTCACGTGACGGCCCCGCGCGCCCTCCTCTCCCCCCCCCTTCCAGTGCTGCTGCGGGGCTCGCGCCCCCAGCTGTGCTCCCGCCGGGCCCTGCAGGGAGAAGGGCGCCTTAAACGTCACCGTGTCTGCATCCTAAGTTGTATTTCCAATTGACTTTGCTAGGAAATAACTGCACGGGGGGGGTGGGGGGGGGGGAATCTTGGAAGATGTGTTCTTAACTTCCATGTGCGTAGGTTGCTCCGAAAGTAATGCCTCCTATTTATTTCCATGGAAACTACCAGATAAGAGCTGCACAACAACGCCGTTTGATACAGCACGTTTTCAACTTCAAGGCGCTGCGTTTCCTCGCGGTCGCCAACGTTAGTTGTGCATTTTTGCCAGCGATGAACAAGAGCTGCATGCTGCGCGCGTAAGAACCTGCACCAGGAGGTGAGACCCTCTGCCCCGCTGCTGGAACGCAGCACAGCCCTCCCTGTGCTCACATCCCTGCTTGGTCTCCATCAACATTCAGCAGGCATCGATGGACGTCAGTGGGTGCGATTTTTTCAGTTCCACCTCTTTGCTCCGTTTGCTCTCCCGCGTCAGACACCGTTCTGTCGGATCTCCGCTCTGCTGCCATCACAACGAAATGGAGCGGGATGTTGGTGGCAAGGTTCAACCTCTGCTGCCGTGCCAACATCTGCCTCTGAGCTGGGGGTCTTAATAGATGAAAAACTTAACATGAGCCAGCAGTGTGTCCCTGCAGCTCGGAAGGCAAATGGGATCCTGGGCTCCATCAAAAGACGGGTGGCCATCAGGGACAGGGAGGTGATTGTTCCCCTCTACTCTGCTATTGTGAGGCCCCATCTGGAGTACTGTCCAAGTGTGGAGCCCCCAATACAAGAAAGACAGGGAGCTGTTGGAGAGGTCCAGAGGAGGGCCACAAAGATGATCAGGGGGCTGGAGCACCTCCCCTGTGAGGACAGGCTGAGGGAGCTGGGCTTGTTCAGCCTGGACAAAAGAAGGCTGCGGGGTGACCTCATTGCAGCCTTTCAGTACCTAAAGGGAGCCTACAAACAGTAGGGGAATCAGCTCTTTGAAAGGGTAGATAATGGCAGGATGAGGAGAAATGGTTTTAACTTGAGGGAGGGGAGATTTAGGTTGGATGTCAGGGGGATATTCTTTACAGAGAGAGTGGTGAGGTGCTGGAACAGCTGCCCAGAGAGGTTGTGGATGCCCCGTCCCTGGAGGTGTTCAAGGCCAGGTTGGATGGGGCCCTGGGCAGCCTGGTCTAGCATTAGGTGGGAAGGTTGGTGGCCCTGCATGTGGCAGGGGGTTGGAGATTCAGGATCCTTGAGGTTCCTTCCAACCCTGGCAATTCTGTGATTCTGACATCGTGGGCCAACGTGACAAAACAGGAGGCATTACTTTCGGAGCAGCCCTCGTACCTCGGTCACGAAGAGGCTCTGCAGCACCCGTCCGATGACAGGGCTGGTGCATTCAGATCCCCTGGTACCTAAAAAAAACCCTGGTGGTTTTTTTTTTTTTAGTATATTTTTGTAGAAAGTGCCAATTCTGCCAACAGCCACAGCTGCAGCTCTGCTCTGTCCTCACGCCCGCAGCTAACCTGCTGCTCACCGCCGCGCCGTTCCCGCAGTGCTGGCACAGCTCTCCTCTGTCACTTCACCAACTCCTCACCATTCATTCCATCTTTACACCGTGCAGAAGCAGCGCTCCGTACCACAACCCCACGAGCGCTGCCCCTCTTTGTCGCTCCCTCCGCGACTTTTGCGATTCGAGCTTTCCAACGACAGCAGTTTGGCCCTCAGCGCTTCGTACCCGGCAGCGTCCCGGCCCGCTCGCACGCTGCCCCGCCGCTCCCCATCGACACGCCCGGCCCGGCCGGAGGGACCCGCAGCGCCGCGGTCACGGCCGAGGGCTCCCGCGGGGTCACGCGATCACGCGCAGCGCGCTGCCTTCCGGTTACCACGGAAACGGCGCCGGGCCCGGGGCGGGCGCGAAGAGCGCGACGCACGGCCAGGACCCGCCGCCCGCCGCCCCGCCCCGCCGCACCGCGGACAACGGGCGCCGCGCGTGCCGCTGAGGGGGCGCGGCTGTGGCGACACCGCCCCGGGGCGGCGCTGAGGGCGGGGGCCGCCCGCCTCAACCCCCCCCCCCGCCAATGGCGGGGCCGCGCCGCTCGTGACGTCAGCAGCGGCAGCGCCTGCACATGGGCGCGCGGCCGGGGCGCGCGGCGCACAGCGGGAGCGGCGGTGCCGGAGGAGCTGCGCGGCGGAGGCGCTTCTCCCGCTCCCTCTGCCCGGCGGCCCGCAGCCGTCCCTCGGCCCGGCCCCGCAACGCCCGTTTCGCCGCGGCACCGCCGGAGGAAGGCTGAAGGAGCCGCTGCCGCGCAGCTCGCCCCGAGGGAAAGCCCACCATGTCGCGGCCGCTCCCGCTGAACCCCACCTTCCTACCTCCCACCTACGGGGTGCTGAAATCCCTGCTGGAAAACCCGCTCAAGCTGCCGCTCGCTCACGAAGACGGTGAGGCCTCCCGGGCGGCCGCGGCCCCGCGCTCCCCCCGCCGCCCCTCCGCGCCCCTCGCAGCGCGCCCCGAAATGGCGGCTCGGCGCCGCTGCCGCCCCGCGCGGTTCGGTACCGGGACGGCTTCGGTGCGCCGCCGGGCGCTGCCGCCGTGACCCGGCGCTCGTCCGCCGCCGCGGTGGGTTGCGAGCCCCGGTTTGGCTGCGGACCCCGCAGCGCCGCGGGAGCGGAGAGCCGTGAGGAGCCGGAGGTCCCGCGGAGCCGCGCGCCGTTCGGTGCGGTGCGGGCACGGCGCTGCCGGCTGCGTCCCTTCGGGGTCTCCCAAACGTCTGCGGGAAATCGGGTGTTTCCTTACAGCTCTTCGTTGTAGGGGCGGGTAGGAAACATCGCTTGAACTTTTTTTTTCTTTTTTGCTTTGATTCTACTCTCGAACATCAACGTAAGGCCAGTGAGGCTTTGCTGCTCTGAGTTAGAAACTTTAAAGCGTTAATAGCGTTATTTCTGCAAATGATGTGTTTTGTAATTTGCTGCTGAGCATGAGGCCACCTTAAAGCAAGCAAAATAGTTATTAAATTCGAGGACTACAGGAGTGGAACCTTAATTTTTTAAGTGTGACCTTATAACAAACCCTTCAGGTTTAGGTCAAGACTGTTCCTTTCCAGCAGGATACAGCAGTATCTCCCAGCTTGCTGTTACTCACATGCTGGCTTCAAATCCAAGTGTGCAATGGGATCCTTAAGTAAAAGAAGCAGAAAAAACCAAGCGTGGCTGCATCCAGTAAAGGTGCTCGGTTGTCACGACCCTTCTGTGCTGCACTTAACAGAGTGAATCAAGGGAACTGATTTTATAAAGCTAATACTCGTTTCCCCTGCAATCTTGGCTGTAAGAAATAAGGAGTGGTAATATTTTAATTACTCAGCTCTTACATCTTTGTTATCTGTTTTGTTTAAGCATTCGGTAAAGAAAAAGACAAAGAGAAGAAGCTAGAGGATGACAGCACCAGTACCACAGTCCCTCAGTCTGCTTTCTTGGGCCCGACATTATGGGACAAGACGCTGCCATACGATGGAGACACTTTCCAGTTGGAATACATGGACCTGGAAGAGTTCCTTTCAGAAAATGGCATTCCACCCAGCCCAAACCAGCACGAGCATAGCCCACACCAGCCAGGTCTGCAGCAAGCTACCTCAGCATCCCCTTCTGTCATGGACCTCAGCAGCAGGGCTTCTACTTCAGTCCACCCAGGCATGGTGTCGCAGAACTGCATGCAGAGCCCGGTCAGACCAGGTAAATCAGCCCTCAGAGCTTCCTCTGGATCGTGGCGTGAGTCTCCCTCCCCGCTGTACATCGTTGCTTCTCACTGTATGCTTGGCAGGCAGTTTAGAGAGGGCTGATGTGATTTGTGGCATTTGTACTCAGAAAAGGAAAGTAGCTCTAGGTATTGTTAAGCTGCTCCATAGGGATTCTTGCTTAACTTATGTCAGGAAGCTGCAAGAATTCCAAGAGAACTTTCCTGTTGTCTGTTCTTCTTTGGTAGCCTACTAATAGCAGATGAAAAACACACAAAATAGTAATGTGTGTATGCCATGATGTGAAATGAACAGGGAGAAGGACCATTAAAGTGGGTGTTATTTTTCTTACCCATATTTGAGTTGTAGCCTTGGTAATTATTTTTTTTAAGATAATCCTTAGACCATGCTTCCTGTTTGAAACTTTGGATGTGATCTTATTCCTTATTGAGTATAGTAAAATTTGCCACAATAGGTGGAACAGACTAAATCTTGTAACTGCATTGTAACCTTTTTAAAGTAGCATACACTGAGTACAGCTGTCCAGAGTTAACATGTTACACCTATGGTTACTTTTAGTTCCAGGCAAAAAAAAAAAAAATTGACATGGAGCCAATTTCTGATCCTAACACATGTTTCAAACCTGCTTGGTGTCAGTGGAACTCTTCTATTTGTTTATTAATGCTTCAAACAGTCCCTTTAGAGACACCAGTGCACATCTAGAGTAACTGCTCTGGCTTGATACCAGCATGGCTGAGATCATGGCCTGGAGAATAGTGTCAACTTTAAAGTTCGGAAAACATGGAGCTTTGCTATTTTTTTCCCCTGAAAAAAAAGTCCAAGGGTGACTTATTGTGCTCTTCTGCTCCCACAAGGTTTGCTGGAGCAAAGCATGCTCATGGGGGCAGGAAACCGCTCCTCTCCACTCTGCTTGATCGCTTGCCACGCTGCTCAGCGTGCGAAGTCATTGTCAGAGTCATCTGATAAAGAGGCGAAGTAAATAAATAGAAGGACAAAAGTTGTAAAACAGGATGAAGTAGAAAAGTCTTAAAAGTCTACAACATGCCTTTTTCATTAAAAAGAAGTAGAGCACCCCCCAGAGCACCCCAAACCTGTCAATAGAGCCTTTGGCCCTAAGTCGCATGTGTGTTGGGTCATGGATTTTGTTTACTTGCTGTACGTGGATTTTACTTCATTTCTGTATTTCAGTTTCAAGGCATTTCTTAGTTAACCAGTAACTTGTGAGCGCTTCCAATGTTAAAATATATCTGGAGTTGGCAGGAGTGGAATATAAAACAAAATCTCGCTTCTCCCAAGCGA